GCCTGAAGAGAGACCTCGAATCTTGGTAGTCTCACCGTGCGTCAGAGATGGAAATGGCCGCTGCCCTTGGCAACCATCGTAGGTTACTCCGTCTGATACGGGAAACGGGCAGCAGGAGACCTGGTGTTAGTGAAACTATACGTGACGAGAGTAGGCAGCTTATCCACAATTTGTCAAAACGTTTGGAGTGTTGGGCTGAACATTTTGAAAAGCAATTTAATCGGCACGAATTGTTCGATTCTTCGCCGGCCAGTGATCTCCCTGCTCCTTGGGCTATCTCTTTGGATCCACGCTCTCGCTCAGAAGTCGAACGTGAGATCGGACTGTTGAAGTTGAACAAAGTCGCGGGACCAGATGATCTTCCTCCAGCCCTCTTGAAATTCGGAGGCTTTACTCTTGTTGATGCTTTACATGAATTACTAGTGAAACTGTGGGAGCAGGAAACTGTCCCAACCGACTGGAGCCGCTCCGTTATTGTTCCCATCTTCAAAGGAGGCTGGCTTTCGGAATGCGGCAACCATATAGGAATCAGTCTGATCTACATCGCCCCCAAATTATTCGCCTCCATAATCCTTCACAGACCGACTGGCGCTCGTGAAAGCCAGATTCGTGAGGAGCAAGCCGGGTTTCGTCGGGGTCGTGGCTGTATCGACCACATCTTCATTTTGCGTCAGTTTTTGGAGCACCGTCACACATATTGGTGGCCCACCGTAGTCGTGTTCCTCGACATCAAAGGTGTCTTCGATTCGGTTGATCGATGTGCCCTTTGGAATTGTCTACTCAGGAAAGATGTGCCCGAGAAATATGTAAATATTATCCAAGCATTATATGCGCGTAGCACGGGCAGAGTGAGGGCTTACAGCAAGCTGTCGTCAACCTTCAATATCTCAGGCGGTGTGAGACAAGGATGCCCGCTGTCACCTTTCCTTTTCAACTTCGCTATTGACGGAGTCATGGAGATTGTACTTACAGGACATGACTTGGAAGGTGTGGAGCTACTCCCAGGAGAACGACTTCTCGGGTTGGAGTATGCAGACGACATTGCCTTAATCTGTGACGGCTCCCAGACGTGCCAAGCCACGCTTGACAGATAAGCACTGACTGGCAGCCGCTTCGGACTTTGCTTTGCACTATGGAAATACAAAGCGTTCCTCCAACATTGGCAGGGATCGCCTCCTGCGCTGACCCTTGGTGGGGATCAGCTAGAAGTCGTTCAGGAATTCAACTACCTGGGGAAGTTGTATCAGCGCCATGGGATCGAAGACGAGATCACGAACCGTATAGCAAAAGCTCGAAGTGCTTTTGCTAACGTCCGCCACCTATGGCAGTGTCGCGACATTACTCTCGCCCTGAAGGGTAGAGTGTACAATGCAGCAGTACGTTCGACCTTACTGTGCGGTTGCGAAACCTGGTCACTAAGATCGGTGGACATGAAGAGGCTAGTTACGTTCGACCATCGGTGCCTTCACACTTTGGCTCACATCTGGTGGAAACACTGCATGAGTAACGAGCGTGTTCGACGCCTTGTTTACGGCACAGGAAAAGGAACTGAATCGCTCAGCACCGTCATTTCACGTACCAGGCTCCGATGGCTCGGCCACGTGTTGCGCATGCAAGCCCACCGGCTTCCACGACATGCGTTTGCTCACCGGGGATGTGGATGGAAGAAGAGGAGGGGTGGCCAAGCGATGACTTGGTCGAGAGGAATGAAGGCCTTCACTTCAAAGCTGGCCTCGGTTGGAGCGTCTCGGCTCCCTGGTTGGGGTCCAAAAGACGGTGAACACGTTTTGCTGGATACACTTGTTGACATGGCAAGGAGCCGACCTCAGTGGCGTTCGTGCTGTGAGTTTCTTTGTCCCTCCCCATCCCTTTTAGCCTTCCCCTCCACGATCTCTATTTCGTGGCGTAAAACCTAATAATTTTTCTTGTTGCCTAGTATCCGGCTGGTAGCTTATCGGAACGATGCCTATCCGTTGCTGGTAGCTCAACTGGCATGCAACTTTTGTATTTATTTTCCTTTTTCATTTATGTATTGCGGCACAGTAGCTGAGGTGTTTCCCACCTCTACCTGACGTGTATAATGATGGTGAATGATTCGACGCTTTGATCTAAGTCTACTAGTTCTCCATGTTGGGGATTTGACATGGTATAGTGTCCATTTCTGGCAGCCGAATCGTTGCCTCATCTGATTCCTTGTGGACAGGCTTTTGAGCCAAGGGCTTCGATTGAGGACCGTAATCCTACTGTTTAGTTCTGGGCGCCCTGGCAGTATCTCAGCCCACGTACTTCCATACTTGAATGAATGAATGATCAAGCTATCCAGTCCGTTCCATCATACGGCCCTTTCGAGTATGGGAACGTTCTTACTCGCCAGTTAGTCAGTGGCAATAAGCCTTGCATGTGTATGCATTTTATCTTGAATACATCACTTCAACTTGAATACGCCGACTCATAAGATCAGCCCAGTCGTGCTCAACAATAAAATAAGGAAGAATATAATGTATGAGGAATTAGAAATAATAATGTTAATGTAGACCATCAAATAAATGGCGTGTTTCAAAACAGTACGAAAAGAATCGACGGATCATTTGGTCATGTTGTGTGGCGGGACAGCCGATGACAGATAACTGCACGAATTGTCCATAAGCAAACTGCTACTAAAGGTAACCTCCAGATTCATCATTAGTTGCATGTAGTAGAGTAGTCGATATCGCCAAGCACTGAAACTTTCTAGAGGTCCCTGTAATGTTACTCCTAAGAAAGAATAAATAGTTAACATTGCAGAGCCAACGTATAATAGAGTAACAGAACAAATATTAGGCATTGGTCATTTTAAGAGGGGATTTCGCAGGTACTGCATATCACCATACCAATAAATGATGGTTGTTCTTGCTTTCGAATCAGAAGACAGTGATAAGTAGGTACATTTGAATAGGATACATGTGCATGAGGTTGATTTAACTAGTTCAATGTGACTGTGGTTGGAATAGCATGTTTTAAAGACCCAAATTGCACTGCTTTACCAATTGTAACGCGTGTGCGATTGATATTCCATGGTATCATATATGGTCAGGTCTTTCATTCAACATTTCGCTGATTAGTTCAATCAATTATATGTTTGCAACCACATAAGGAGCTCAAATAACATATATATACCGGTACGTTAGTCCCAAAGTTTGCTGCTACCTTGCACGAAGAAGGGGCGGTTCATTTTATCTGATAAATGTTACCCTCAAAATGATGACATGACCACGGAATTCTCACATCCCATTGCTAACTTCATGGCGAATTGGAGAACACGGTGCAGATGGAGATGTCCGCAATCGCTAGCCAGATGGCTTGTTTGTTGTGGTAGATAAATCCACTGACCTGGATGAAATTCTCGGCCGGTTTAGTTTTAATCACCGACGGAACAACTTTTAAAAGATTACCACGGTTGGAAACGGAGATGTGGCCATAATTCGCGTTTGCACCACTCTGCATGTCTGTTTCCACAGTCATTGTGCTTATTAAACACATTTATCTGTTCATCGAAACTATTTGCCATGGGTTTTTCTAACCGCACTGCACCAGTGATTATTTACAGTCGTGGTGATCGCACTTACCAGCCAATGCTACGGAACTTTTCCCAGTTGACTTCGTGTACGCTTCACACAACTAAGCTGCGTCACCCTCTATGCTGATCCGTTCATCAACGCTTATATCATTCACCACTTTTCACGTTCACGATGTATAACCCACTCTCAGTTGTGCTTGAGCGCAATTTTGCGCCACATTCACCAGACTCTATGCTGATGTAGTACTTCCAGGTAAGAGTCTTCGAATCGCATCGCCTTAAACTTTGTGTTTGACTTAGATGAAAAAATTTCTCATTCTTTGTCCACTGTTTTCTGATTAGCTAACGGCTCTCGCTCCCTGGACAAATTCGTAGTCGTCCCTAGCCGCTTTGGGATGCATCTTGCCCAAGTCTCCCGGTTATCTGTTGGCACATTTGGAAAGATGCGTATTCATGCTAAAACGCCATGAGCGTGCAACAGATGGCGCAACATGGCGCAGCTACCTCGGCCTACTTCATTCTGCTTCAGATTCTGCTAATGGTAGAATTCCTGTGCTCTGGCTTAACGCATCTACATAGGAATGTTAACCTAGACTTATTCGCTTTGATAGAGCGCTTTTTACTGGCCGTTTTTGTGTTTTCTAGATTTTTTGGCATATCCTGCTGGGTTTTCATAGCTTAACTGTCTACTTTCCTGACGATTTCGCTCCTAAGGAACCGGTACCTTTTAGGAACTAGCAGCGGCTATAGCTGTCTTCCTTTATCTTATCGCTAACCATTTTGAACTTATCCCAAGCGTTTCTATGAGATCCCGAAATGCTTTCCTCAACTCTTAGTTCTGGTGCCAATAGGACATCAGTCGCTTTTGAAAGAATAAAGTCTTGGAGACAGATCTATCCACCTGACTCTTTTTGTTTTGGTGCTAAACCATTCTACCGGATCAGCACATTAGCAACTCGTCTCGCGTTTGACCGGATCGCTATGTGAGGGATTGCTGGTGTCACCGATATGTTTGCAGTATCCGAATTCTCTGTGCTGGAACACTGCCAACTTCTCAGGCTCTGGTGTCTGGGTCATCCCTTCCTTAAGTTCGCTCCGCACAGGATGTGACACCAGAAAACATCGATTGCAAGTGTCCGCATGATGAATTTATCACACTTTCTTTTCTATTCTCTCACTGGCTTCGCACCCTCTCACGTCAATATCTTGCTTAGCGCTTGTCACTGTAACGTAATGCTGTTGTTGTGTTGGTTGATGATATCTAATTTACTTGTACTGCTGTTCGCTCCCAGTAACTTCCACGGTTTTTTCCATTCAAAACGACAGTCAAATTATCGTACCTGTTCAACCGAAAGAATTGTGCTCATCGTTCGATGTATTTCCTCTTTATTACTCTTCCAAACTTCCTTTGTTTGATCTCGCTTTCTTCTTGCATACACGTATTCAGGTGATGGCGGACTGCGTTACCTTCGCGATTGGATGTGGTGGCTTGGTTTGGCTCTGTTTGGCCTCGGTGAGGGAGCCAACTTCGCCGCGTATGCCATGGCACCTGCCTCCCTCGTAACCCCCTTAGGTGGGTTATCGGTTCTAGTGAGCACTGTGCTCAGCGCTCGTTTTCTCGATGAACGCTTGCATCTGGCCGGAAAGTTGGGGTGTTTCATCTGCTTGGCTGGTTCAACTATTGTGGTGTTGCATGCACCCAAAGAGCAGGCAGTTGATTCATTGGAGGAAATTCAGCGTAAATTTTTTGCTCCAGGCAAGTGTGATAAGTTTTTATAAAACTTACATAGCCTCTTCTTCTTTATGCGCGCCTCTGCTTTCTTAATTTTTTTCTCCACTGGCACTAATTTACACCGATTGGAATTGTGAATTAGATACCTGAGTTCTTTTTCGGTCTAGTTCTGATAATCTGACTCAACTATGCTCGGCCATCTCATGTGTTCTCACTGGTGACGGTTTGATTGTGTCGGGGTTGTCGTTGCGAAGCAGTTTTTGCACACCTGAGCAATTGTAGTCAGTACGTTCCACTTGCACATACGAGAGGCTCAGCTTACTTATTCGCACGAATCCGACTTTAGACAGCCGGATACGTTCGTATCCATTCTTTTATTTGCACTTAGTGTGACTCATGCTGAGGTTGGTCGGTGATGCATACCTTGTACTTCTTCACCGCCTTTGGGTTACACCGACTTATACTTAAACTAGATTTTCCTAATCTGAATAAAAAGTACTCTACTTTATTTGATTTGCTCAATTCTCTTATTCTGCCGCATACTTCTTGTTAGTTTTGCATGTGTGTTTTCCTTCAAATTCTTTGTTGATTGCTTGAAATCCCCGGTGTGGCTGCGCTTGATGCGAATGTTGACAAGGCGCCTATCTGTCTATTCCCCACCACACTATACTGGCTCTAGGAGACTATGAATCGTTTCTGGGGGGAGGGGTGCACGGTCCTCGTGGCCATCCTTGGCTCAGAGAGTGGTTCCATCCAGTGTGGAGTGGACTGCGGCCCAGCCACCGCTATTGAGTACATCTGCTACACATGATTCCCGAATTAGATAGATAGGAATGCTGTTGCTGCACATGTTGTAGGAGTGTGGGCCGGCTCCGTTGATGAAACGTGGCTCCCATCCACATGCCTCCCGGTCTTATTCCTTCTGGTTTACACTGGATATGGAGTGTGTGGATGGAGCTGTGGGTGGTGCATCGCAAGCCACCCATGATCCTTCTGTAGACGCAAACGTTCTGTGACTGTTTTCGTGGAAGTCGCAGTGACAAGCAACTGCAGAATAGGATGTCGCCAACAATTTGCTCTTATCCCCGCAAAGCTCTATAGGCTGTTGTACGTTGTGAATACATGACGGTCATTGACTTGGTCTCTAGCACTGGGGCTTCATTTCCTATGCAGTGAACTCCCTGGAGAACAAAGTCTGATGTATCTGGACGGGGGTTAGACTTATTTCAGTTGGTGTATAGTTTCTGGATTGTTATTCATGCGCATACAGTCGGCCCGACAAGCTCGTCCTCACTTGAATCATATGTGCACGCTTGTTTGCGTTTTTTCACCCATACTTCATCTACGTTCATTTGCAAGGAACGCAAAGGTTCCAACTTAGCTCGCCACAGTTCACTCTATTTAGATAACCTCAAAATATCCGGTTACATACTGGGCTCCCGTCTCACACTATCCTGGACTCAGCTGTATCACGATGGAGGATGGAAACCAGCTCCTCTCGTCAGTTGACTGTCTAGCTATTCCGGGTTTCGTTGAACTCTGGACTTGTACTGACCCTGGTGTTGAAACACTAAATCAAGCTCAATCACTAAACTACTTTTTCATGACTGGGGTCACTTGAGTCTAGCCTGCATTGGTGCACAAGTCGATATCTGGTCTTCATCTGGTTGATCAGGTTAATTGCGAAGCTCAGCATTGACTGGGCCATTCTTATGCACTGCGGCACCGTCGGTACAAACCGGTGACGAGAGCAATACTATGCATAGCGATCGCGCTGGCGTTGTCACATATACTCGTACTGGAATGCAATGGTCACTGCCATCGAGGCCCTATGCGTCAATACGATGTGTGTTAAATCACTTAGATCACCACCTTTTCAATCTGGCGCGCCTCCACTTCTGTTCGCACTCAGCCTCTGAATCATACTACGGTTATCAGGCCAATTCCACTGCTAAGCATGAACTACTGCACCGACCAGATGTTCATCCACTGACGCGACCATGTTTTTGTGATAAACGAAACCCTGTGTCTCCGACGAATACATCAGCCCTTTGATTCCCATCGGTTTTACTTGTCCTTTTGACCTTGGTGTCTTTTGTTTTCCATGGTGCATGACTGGTAACTCTTGCTCGAAGAGGCTAAACTAGCGTGAATCCAGTCGTTGGATGCATTGTTTGGAACGATTGGCCGCAAATCTATTTCGGCCACAATTCCACTCTCTGAAGTGCTTGGGGTTTATGGTGAATTGCGCTTGGAATCGATTGGGGCTTCATAGTTCAGAAGATTTGGAATGTAAATTGGCTATGTAAACGCTTCATCCTAGCCACGTTTCGCTTTTAACTTAAGTACTTCTTAAGGGTTTGCTCCATAGTAATTCACAGTGTGATTTGCCATTGCATATCGCAATTCATGTCCGTGAATGATCTAACCGCCTTGCCACACGTTGCTCTCGTCCATTGGTTGCCAGCAATTATGAGGAGTTCTTGGATGATACCGGTATTGTGTTGTGCTGTTCGGGGTTTTTAATGGTGATGACGTCTCTACTTCCGTTCCTGCGTTGTTCCTAGGTCTAGAATTATTCAGTATTCTCCTAGGTGCGACAGGTTCACGGTTTAAATTCATCATAATTCGCTTGCAGCTCTGGTTTCGAGTATATCAGCTTGGTTTGTGTCCTTTAGGCTGATGCGGTATGTGAATTGCACTGCCAGTTAGTCTTAAGAAGTTAGTTACGTTTTCTTTTTGCCAATGGATTACGCGTGCTATTCACTGCCTTTGCGAATCTATAATCCGGCTGTTTTCTCTGTGCTTTTGAAGCTGAACTCCTCTTAATCAATGTGTGTACTTGCCCCACCCGTATATACATTCATTGTCACCATTATTTATCTATCAGTGAAGCTTCTTTTCTCTCACACCTCTCATTGTTCTTTTTAGGCTTTCTCGCCTACGGAATATTTGTGCTACTAATGTCGTTAGTGCTCATATTCATCCTTGGTCCACGATTTGGAAAGTCCAACCCTTTAACATATCTCCTGATCAGCGCTAGCCTCGGTTCCCTCTCAGTCATGGCTTGCAAAGGCTTGGGTATAAAAATCAGGGTATGTGTCCATCGGCTTTCTTTTTGGAACTGTTAGCTGCATTCTCATCCGTTTTATTCATTTTCTTTTCCCTGATTCATTTTCTGTCTTATTCCGAGATGTGTATTTGGTTGTTGGACCTCCCAAAATATGCGCGACACCGGTTGAAAACGATCATATTTCCAGCAAGGCTCCAACGCCGATCGACGTTAGTAGTCAGTACCTTTTACCAAAAGCATCTTGAATGTAACATCTGCGAGCATACTGTACACGGTAAAGATCTACCGAAACGCTAACTGTTTTTGTAGGTTTACCTGAGAACTCGATTTCTAGAGCAATCATATCATTTGCGAATATTGCGGGTACAAAGTTGTTCCAATCAATCTGTAATTTGTTGTAGGTATGTAGGAGCTCCTACTGAACATAATGGTTTCAAATCGTTTTCTCGTGGAATTATCATTTGTCCTGGAAAATTACACTTTCCAAGAAATCACTGAGTGAAATGTGAAGGCAGACTTGATTGTCAGTGGCCTAAATTAATTGTAATTCCTGTTGATTGGTGGGTATTTGAGTGTAAATTCAGAAGCAGTTCGTCGCAGTCGCCTCTCAATCAGCAGGTTCCTACACGTCTGGAAAATCACCGGACAGCTATTTCGACATTCTGGGTCTCATCAGTGGTGCACCTTCCTTGAACCCCTGCCGGGTTCCGACCCCAAGACTTCCGGATACTAACGGCTGAATGAGAGGGGACTGCGACGAACTACCTCTGAACTTACATCCAAATCCTCACTACTCATTAGTAATCTAACATCCGCCGTGTACCTTCTAACTGCTGTGTTGTACACAGTCGCTAGGCGAAAGGCGTAGCTCCTGGGGCCAACCACTGTCCTCTGCACAGTTCGTAATTAGCATAGCAGTGTAGGATGCGCCTGGCTATATCGGAGTCAACTGTCAGTCATGCACCTCCGCGGCCCTCACCCATGGCTTAGTGACACAAGCCGCTGGCATCCGGAAGTCATGGAGCTGGAACCCGACGGGCGTCCGAGGAAGGCGCACCACTGACGAGACCCAGAAGGTCAAGGCAGCTGTCTGGTGCTTTTCCAGACGTGTCGGAGCCTGCTGACTAAGAGAGGATTGCGACACTTTACTTCTGTAAGGCGCCTTATTTTTTGATTTACTATCACGCCCGTCATCATCATTAACAACTGCTAGAGCAACACCATCGATAGCAACATGAGTACTTTGTTCAGGCATCACACCGCGTGCACCTATGCTGGGCTTCTTAATTTGGAATAAGAGGGAGAATGGTGGACGCAATGTAAAACTGAATGCTCTGAACAAACATTCTCCATCTAGGTGCCTACACCGTTCAAACATCAGTTATTCACAGACTTCTTGGTATCATCCACCGTTTGGTTGAAAATCTTTTCCGGCCGGACACGGCCACGAAATCGGTGTTACTACTCCACTCAGCTCGTTACTTTTATCCATCAACTTCTTCATTTATCACTTATTTACTTTCCTCTCATTTGTCGCATTAATTTTTTGCGACGGTTTAAGCTGAACTGAGTAACTTAATTTACCGATTCGTTTTCCCACATTTCTTCAGGATACGTTACTTCACGGTACATCATCTATCCTCTTCCCCTGGTTTTTCTGGTTCCTGCTCATCCTTCTGATCGCTGGAATTTCCGTCCAACTTTATTATCTGAATCGTGCTTTGGATTTGTTCAACACCGGCCTTGTAACCGCCCTTTTGTATGTGCTCTTCACTGCATTCGTGTTGACTGCCTCAGCCGTCTTGTTCCGTGAATGGTCAAACATCCTACCGATGGATTACGTGGAGTTGACTTTGGGCCTTATATTGATTTCCATCGGTGTCTTTATGATGACGGTGTTAAAAGTACGTTTTAAATGGGCACGCACATTTACTTCTCCTTCAAACCTGTGGAGTTCACGCTGAAAAGCTCTCTGCTGCCGAATATTTCATGACATAATGTTGTATTGCATTCCCCACGAATCGCTGCATCTTCTCTGGTCATGTGACGTTCGCTAGCACAACAGTCCACGCTTTATCCACCTTAAACAATGATTTCAATTGATCAATAGCTGCAAACTATCACAGATCTACCAGGCCGTTCTTATCTGTTGCACAACCGCCGGTTCCTGTTGGTTGCCTTAATCCCATGGATCGTTGTTAAATCGTGGATCTCTTTTTCCCCTACCACGTCCCGTAATCTCAAATGTATCCTACTCTTAATTATTCTAATTTTGTTGCTGCACTCACCTACCATGAAACCAGGTCGGCTGAGTGGCCAAGTTGCCCGACTGCGTTGAGCACACCCTACTTGAAGAGTTGGAACAGGAATGAAACTGGCTGCGAACTACAAATTTGGGTTGCACCGACTCTTACACCTCTCTCTGCTTTCAAACGAGCAATTGACGTAATTCGCGATAATCCTCCTACATGTTTCCTAGGAACACACGCACGAATCTTCCCTGTATTAGACGAGGACCCCTTAAGACCAGATGATTAAATACATTTATCCATTTACGTTACAGGCGTTTCCATCAATTTGAATACTCTATGACTTATGGTTAGCGCTTGTGTATTTGGTCGAAATAGCACATGAGGGAATATACGAGCCACACACTTGAACACTACAGCACAATGTTTGCAGTGAGCCGTAACCGCGGTGTACTGTGACACATTGAACTTGCCCCATCCCCACCTAAGTCCTAAGTAGCCTTCGAGTTGCTTAGACCTTATCTGCGTTTGACGGAGCTATTCCAAATGCAATAAGCATAGTGTGTTTTATTTCACCGTTAGTCGCATGTGATAGGGACCTAATCTCTCACCTTGCGATTTGGTTCATCTGTTCCGATCGCCTAATGGAAACCCACGTAGGGGATAGGCGTCCCACTTGTATGCCTTCTGCCTGAGCGACTTCAGCAGTTTGTCTGCATAAATGCAACTCGATACACACCGATACAGGGATGTCATTTCCACTCATCTAAAAAGTGTTGAATATTGCTTGTTCCCGTGGGGTTAAGCTCGAAGTTGAGCAGCTACTCACCGTGTTCGTAGCGTAACACGTGGCCTCAACCAGGACCTTTGGTCTACCTCGTAGTGCACCCTCCTTATCTCACTGGCGTCCCGCCACCGACGCTTCACATACAGTTCAAGGGACGAGCAGGTAATAGTAGTGCCCAACAACTTTGGACATCTGCTTGGACACTCACATATCCCCCAAATCTGAGCGGTAGCGGGACCCGGAGATTGCGAGCCAGCTGCCGGAAGCACTTCACTGCGGACCCATTAGTCAACATACGTTAAGTATGGGCATTCTTTTTCTGCATTCGTTGTGAATGGATTGTAGTGTTGCAAAAGGGTAACACTCAACGTTCGACGATCTCTTGTCGCCGTTTCAAGCATTACTAGTAGTGCCTAACAGACCAGTTGTTGAGATGTTTAGACAGCAGCCACGTGGAAACCAGTGCGACACTCAAACGAGCATTCTTTACTCGACTGTCAGACAAGTTCGAAATCGGTGGTTGGACACGATGCTGTTATTTCTGTCTAAGCTCTGAGACTGACAGACAGTTGCTTCTAAGCATACAGTGATGCAAAGCGAACTTGGGTCTCACAGTCTAAACTCATATTAGCCTGTTTAGTATGCCTATCAGTCTCCTTCTTCTCCGTCGTAACCGATCTTGAGACCAAATTCGATGTACTTGCTGCGTGGAACTGGTTTTCTGTTGGATTACTCTATCAACTTACCTATCTTCGTTGTAAGGTCCCGTTATGGTTAATCCTACCCTCGGTTGTTGGATACTCGTACATTCGTTTTGTTAACGTCTCATTTGTCGTGCAGATTGGCGTTTTCTTTTTTTCACATCTACCTCTGTTCTACCTTTCTTCTCCTAGAACTCGAACTTTCGCTTTGCATCTTTGAAACTGCACATGAACACCGTTCCAGGTAAAGCCACTAAGAGTCCTTCTAACGGTGTGGTGCCGCATGTTCGCTCTCGCCCTCACAGCGTAAACAAATCCAAAATGTCTCCCACCAGGAAGCGGGATACTCGCAACTTATTGAGTTCCACCAGCGGTGAAAGTTTCACTTCCTCGGTCCCAGGCACCGACTCGGACTCTTCGCCTCCGCAGTTTCTACGAAAACCATAACAACTTTCGATCGATACTTCGAAAAGTTGTCGAGTTCTGTATGAGCTGCACCGGCCACCAAACTAGCCTTTGGCTTATCCTTTACTATTTTCTACATTTGTCTCTACATTTGTCATCAGTATTTTCATTATTTCATACTTTACCTCTACCTATGTCAATCCGCCGGCATCGTTTCCTTTTTATGCCTCGGTTTCATCATTGCGCTGCGAGAACATCTTTTTTTACTCCTGACCTCAACGAGGCACTATAATCAAAATTTTATACCCTGCATTTTTGATATTATTGAAAGAATGGAGCCACTCTGTTCAATCCTAAGTTTATCTGTACCCCTCACCTCACCCGTATGTAGGTGTAATCTGGATGCAAATAGGTGCTTGATATGTTTGTTTGGCGCACCCCTTCTCTCTTCTGCCACATTCTATCCGTCTACCCTTACGCGTTCTGCATACCATCTGACCACATATCAGTAACTGTCGGCCGGTGGCCGCAGGGATTACACGCTTGAATTGCAATCCTTAGGTCACCCGTTTGAATCCGCGTAGGGGCGGGCGTTCTCACAGTATACTCAGCCGACGCGTGTTGATCACGTGACAGCGAGGTGTCGGTACAATGTGCCGGCATACTGCTGATGATATCGGTAACTGCGGACAGTCTGATGCAGACCTACACGTTTGTGGTTTCCGCTTATGCCCCCCACCAATTCCAGCTCTGATGCTGCGAAGCACACTTTCTACCACCAACTAAACACACTACTGTGCAGTGTTGCCAGATACGATATCATAATTCTCGCAGGGGATATGAATGCGCAACTAGTTCATCTGAGCTCTTCAGGAGCTTTTCTAGGTGGTATATATGGACCTAACTCCGAACAGACGGACAACGGCGAGAGTCTGTTGCAACTGTGTGCGGAGCATCAACAGTTTCTTAGGAGTACCGCTTTTGGACATAATGGGCCCCGAAGTGCCACTTGGCGTCCTCCTGTAGCTGACCAACGATGCAACCAAATTGATCACATTGCCATAAGTTATAGGTGGCGTGGTTCCATGCTGGATTGCCGGTCGTTCTGGTATACCGTCTACTCTAATCATGCGTTGGTATGCTGTCGTTTATCCACGAACTCTACTGGGAGGCGCACCAAGCGTCTCCTTTTATTGGCAACTGAGAAATTGCCTCAACTCTCGGTCAGGCAAGCATGTCAAGGCGTACTGCGTACCGAACTTTCGCTCTCTCGTCCTAATGATACGAAGCTCTAATGGAATAGGATCTCGACCGCCATGCACGACGCAGGAGCATTTGCTTGTGGTATTATCAATCTTCACCGCACCAGTCACTGGATATCCGAGAGATCAGCGAATCTGTTGGAATCCAGAAGAAAACCCCCGACTGGCTCTGAGCACAATATGACCGGACGGACTGTTAGACGCGAAATAAAGTGGGGCATGCGTGTTGACAAGGGAGCCTGGTGTACCACTTGGTCTCAAAATATAGAGGAAGCAAAAGGAGTGTCCAGTTATCGCAAACTCTTCCAGCTGGTCCGCACCACTGGTCTCAGAGACCAGGCGTCAGTGAAACAACCAGAGAGAGCGCGGGTACGCTGATCCACACTAAGAAGCGCCGTATGGCTCGTTGGACGAAGCTCTTTTGCGAGTAGTTCCTTTGTTCTCCTGCTTCTAGACTTCTTCTACTCTGGTGTTACAGGCTAAGCCATGGTCTGCAGACTCCGTCGGAGGTTAAGGTCCGAAACGGGATCGCAACTCTTAATCCTTTTCTTGCCGTTGGCCTGTATTAGCTCTCACCCGCATTATTTAAGAATGATGATGAGGTCCTCTGCAAAGCACTGACCTCTTTGTTGTAACACGTCTGGACGCAAGAGACCGTCCCATATAACTGGAGGGAATCGATTATAGTGGCAATATACAAGGGAGGCGGTCTTACCGACTGTGCTAACCACGGAGGTATTAGCCTAACACCGCTATTAACAAAATTACCTTCTTCAATTCTGGTTCATCGCCTCACTTCAGAGTAAGGATCACGAATTGGGAAAGACCAAGCAGGCTTTCGCTCAGGATGGGGCTGGACAGTGCACGTATTCACTGTGCAGCATGTGCTAGAGCAGCGCCACACGTACAGCCGGCCGACAATAGCTGTGTTTCTCGACTTCAAGAGGGCGTTCATTTCAGTCGGTTGATGCATTCTATTCAAAATACTTGCGCGGAGAGATGTTCCTATGAAATCGAACACGACTGATCGCTTCAGGGTTTACAGTGATTTCTCGGAGGCCTTTCCGACAACAAGTGGTATTCGTTAGGGTTTCCAATTTTTGTTCAACTTCGTTGTGGACTACACCATAGTGTTCCTTTGCTGATTCTTACGATGCGGGCATTGAGGTGCTGCCTGGTGACATACTAGTTGATCTTGATTATCCTGACGATATTGTCTTGCTTTTTAACGATGTTGGGGCGGCCCTATCACCCCTGAATCCACCTAGAGTGGTTCCATCATTTGGCATGCGCTTCGCACCATCAAAGTGTAAAGTGCTGTTACAGGACCACAGGCTACTTGACGACTCCTTGGCACTTAGTAACGAGAAACTCGAGGTAATTGTTCAACTCCCTCACCTTGGTAGCAACGATGGACGCATAACCACTAAAGTCAGCTCACGTATTGCGAAAGCTAGAACTGCATTTTTGAATCTGTAACATCTGGCGTCAGAAAAGGGTTTCCCTCTGTCTAAAAGGCCGTGTATACAAGAACACAGTGAGGGCCGTGCTACTCTATGGCAGCGAGACTTGGCCCCTCCGATCTGAAAAGCCGCTGCGCCTTCAACTCTTTGATCATCGCTGTCTGCGGAACATTACTGGTTTCGGATGGCAGCAGCATGTCCGCAACCATTATGTGCGTAAGCGAGTTCTAAGCAGTGATAACCAGGCTACTTTCTTAGAACAGCAGATAGCCTGCATTAGTTGTGTTGGCTTGGGCACGTACTATGTATGCCTGATCACCGATTACCGAGGAGGGCCTTGTTTTGTTTACCTGAAGTAGGTTGGCGCAAGGTCCGAGGTGGTCAAATACTGACTTGGTTACAGGAAATGAAATCACTGATGACCAAACTGCCGTCGGACCGTCTCGTCTTCCATGCTAGAGTCCAGGTGACCGGCCTTGTCTTTGGTCTGAGGCTTTGCAGGACATGGCTCCTAGTCGGCACCGGTGTCGCGTCTGCTGTCGTCTAATCAGGTTGCCTGTCTAAATTGTGTTTGGTGCTGAGTTATCTGCGGGGTAATGGCTGATTGTGACGCGGGGCAGTGAAAGCTGCAAGGAAGCTGTCTCTGTTGCCTTCTTATCTTTGCACGATAGACAGCTGTTTGTGTTGATATATTGTTGACAAGGTGTAGGCGCCTTCACCCCGTGTGTTTGTTTAGGGCATTAAGGTTTTACTGTAGATCCCCTTCTCTATCTCTTATTGTTCTTCGTTCCGTAGGTCAGTTCAAGTGGCTGATTTACTGCCGTTAAATGTCCTTCTTTCTTGCTCTCTTATGATTTACTGCTGTTAATGATGATGAGATCTTCATGTCGTTTGGCGTAGGCTTGATATGTTCTGCCATTCTTGCGTATGTTTTGAAGGTCATAACTTTGTTGGCGTTAGCCCAATACTGTTCCTTCAACTGTAGCCTGTACACTCGACAGCCGTCTATCTGAGAACACTGTTTCCGCGCCTTCCATTGCGATAGGGATAGTTGTTGTATCATGCGCTCATAATTCGCCTCCGCCTTTGCGCAAACATTTACAGGACTCTTCATTGCCCTACGCCTTGTTCACAAGTCTGAGCTCTGTAACTTCCTTGCTTGGGTTAGTTTTACTACCCCCTAGGATGGATTCTTTGGTCTTTTACGCACTGGTCTCAGCTCATTCTGACGTTTGCGCTTTATGGATCCTGAGCTCTATCACCAAAGAAGGATCACCTAGTTCAGGCGCTTTGTCTTTACTAAGGAAATTAATGCTATGTGATCACATGGCTGTGATCTAGTCCACTCTGCGCTTTTAACTGACCATCTACTGACACTTAGCAGTTGCTATGGCTTCAGCCTACTTGTATTTCTCTCCAGGCGCTAATGCTTGCGCTGACATTTATGCTTTGCGTGGATGTTGTTGTGCCCAAAACTGTATAAACCGACATCTGTTATCGGTGTAACAAAGCGTCATATTCTGAGCCGTCTGGGTGAAGTCACTCTCCTCGCTTCTCGTGTCACCTATACTGATCGCATTAGTTTTGCTTCTGACCAGCCAGATGCTTGGCAACATTTACTACAAGATCCTCTCTTTGGTGATCATTACCCACAATTATTTTTCAAGAGTTGGCACGCTGCGTCTGGTGTACCTTAAGGAACGCTGGAAATGCAGCTCCCGCATCCTCTGCCCTATCTTCACGGCATTTGCGGTTAGTAACTCAGACCGTCTTCTTAAGACCTCTAGTGGTTGGGGTCCGTTAGTGTTGGCTTCACGCATATCCTTGACAATTGGTAGGCTCATTCGATATCCGCTGTGTCACCTACTGCTAATGGATTCTCTTTCGTGCGGTGTGTGAGCGATCGATAAGGTGAGACAGGTTGTTGCTGTTTGGAATGCACCAATTTCTTCTCTCAACCACGAGACAGTTGCCGGTGTGCACGTCTTTCCAGAGGGGTCGCGAACTGTGCCGCTGACTCTCATTCCACTCCGCATGTGAACATAAATCAAACCAAACTTCCATTGATTTTCACGAGAACTCTGTTGTCTTCCTTATGGTTTTTGAAGCTCTGTTATTCATCATTTATGAGATTTTTACTCTTTCCCATCCGGCGCCGTTACTTACCCCTTTTGGTTGCATGCTTATGAATGTGAGAGCCGCACTTCTTTCGAACGACTCTGAAATTACTTGAAGGTTTCAGAAATGATCGAAACCTTCTACGAATCAGTTGGTATCCGAAATCATTTCAGGGTGAAGGGTTCTTTTCGGTAAACTCTCTAACTGTTACACGCACCGATGTTTCGATTATACTACCAATCTCTATTTCACTCTGAGTTCATTAGTAGCTCCGAATTAGGTCGGCTCAAATCACACACTTACGTCTAACAAGCATGTGTACATGAAGCCTGCAGTCGATTTTAGCGACCACATGACTTACACTTCACAGACATGTGAGCCCTGTTAAGCGTATCCAGTGCCAAATTGAATAAGTGAGAAATGCGTTTTAATCTCTCCACAGGAGAACTCACGGGCACAACTCTTCTACTGTATATTCGATAAATCAGCTCACTGCTTCGTATCATCCCTATTGCGATTTCCTGATTGTGTGTTGTTGCATGAAGTTGTATAACGTGGAAATTTTTGGTGCTGTTTAGAGGTTTGTCTTA